TTTTTCTTTTTTTGTGGAACAGAGGATTGAACTCAGGCCCTTGTGCTTGCCAGAGAAGCGCTTATTCCACTGAGCCATCTCCCCGGTCCTTTACTTTATATTTTGAAAGGGGCTCTTCCTATGTTGCTACATTGCCCAGGATAGGCTTGAACTTTCAATCCTTCTGCTTCAGCCTCCCAGAGTGCTAAGATTACAGGCCCATGCCACCAGGCCTGGCTTTTCTCTTGTCACTCAGCCCTGTATTAGGTGGGTTCATAGAACCAGTCAAAGAGCCTTCAGGGGAACTACAGGAGAATACAGGCATCTCTTCTTCCCCTAAAGTCTGGGATTGGGGAGCCCCTCTGCCCTCACTGAGGTACGTCATAGGTTTGGCCCACAGACCCTCTAAATCCATACATAAGGCTAGGACATAGCTCAGTAGTAAAGCACTTGCTTAGAAAAGTATGAGGCCCAGATGGTTCCTCAACACCAAAAGAAGCAAAAAACAAAATCCCACTCAGGGTGGGTGGCCAGGACCTAGTCAGATAGAAACCAGAAGACCCTAGCTAACATGGAACAGAGTTCACAGTGTTCAAGCAGAAACCCGTGATTCAGGCCAGACTCTAAAATGGAAAAGGAAACAAGAAAGAGGAACTTGCAGGCTTCTATGAGGGGCCTTGTGATCCCTCAAGATCCTGTTCTCCGTGCCAGGGAGATGGCTCAATGGAATAAGCGCTTCCCTACAAGCGCAATGGCCTGAGTTCAACCCCTGGTTCTGCCAAAAAGAAAAAAAAATCTTGTTCTCAGGGAGACTGTTTGAGGACAATCTTAAGACTCCCAGCCCCAAGGTAGTTTGGAGGGCAAGGACACTCAGAAGTCAAAGCAGAATATAAACAGGAGATACAAAAAATAAATTATTATTTTTTTTTAAAAAGAAGATAAACAGGAGAATGAAGGATTTGGCCCAGTAGGGACAATGTGGGCACCCAGACTTGGGCCTGTTTACAGAGTGGACATGTGATCAGCAGGTCTGTGCACATGTGCGCACACCCTGCTTTGCCCACTGGCACTCACTGGCTGACTGATATCTGCAGCTGCTTCTTAGCCTGGCTTCTACCCTCTAGCTGCAAGAGAGCTCTGGGCTCCACTTGTCTGAGCCCCGTAGCCAAGTGGAAAGAATTTGTGCAGAGTTCAATTTTGTCTTTGGATAATCATTAACATAAACCACGATCTAGAAATAACCAGGGTCCAGCTATCTCAGCCTCTTCCTCAGAGGCTAGCCTTATTTGGCCTTCTCTGATGGGGCAAAGGCAGGGAGTCACCTCTTCAGCTTCAGATGAGACCACAGAGGTAACAGGACATAAGGTGGAATGACTCCCAATTAGGGACTCAAGGAACAGTCTCTTAGGTCTTCAGGTCTGAACTGCCCTGTGGATTATACTGACATCTGTGCCAGCACCTCGTGAAAAGCAAAAAAAAAAAAGGAACCACTTTGCTCAGGAAAGCCACTGATAAACTGGGCAATGACACACAGGAGAAAAGCCTGGTTACAAAGAACACACACAGATCACTAACAGAGAAATGACCCAAGAGAACAAGTTTACAGGGAAAGGCCAAGGGAACCAGGTGCAGGTCTTACAGTCAATGTGAGTTGTCTTTGCCTGTGGTGAGCCCCAGGTCCTTCTCACCCCAGCAGGAGGGGAATCATACCATCTTCTTAGCTTGGTGTTGAGCCGCTAGGAGCTCCATGTCCTATATAGTGGCAGGCAGAACACCAACAGTGGGGTATAGTTCAATGCAAAGGCCCTAAAGTCAATCCCCACAACCACAATAAAGCAGGCACTAGGGTGTAGCTCAGTGCTATGTCACTTGCCTAACTTGCCTAAAACTCTCTGTTTAATCCCCAGCACTGCAAAACAAAGACCTAGAAATGGTTACGAATAAATATCCAAGCCAGGTGTAGTGGTGAACCCCTTAATCTGCGTACTCGGGAGGCTGAGGCATAAGGATTGCTGTAAGTTCGAGGTTAGCCTGGGCTACACAGTGAGCCTAAGACCAGCCTGAGTTACAGAGTGAGACCCTGTCTCAAAAAGCTAAATAGGGCCAACGAGATAGCAGATTAAAGTGCCTGCTTAGGCAGACATAAGGGCTGGGGTTTGATCCCCAGTGTGCCGTGCAGGCCCTGCCCCTGGGGTGCATGCTGAGCTGGTGACTAAGACTGGGTGTGATGGCGCGCGCCTGCAATCCCAGCACTTGGCTGAAAAGAGGAGGATCATGAGTCTGATCTACATAGTGAGACCCTATAGACCCTGTATTAAATACAAAAAATAAAAATAAAATTTAAAAGCTAAGTAAGTACCCAATGTAAAAAGGATATTATTTTTTTTAATGTATTTATTACAGGGTCTACAGGGTCTCACTACACAGATCGGACAGACCCCTAGTGATTCTCCTGTTTTCAGCCTCCCAAGTGCTGGGATTACAGGTGCGTACTTCCATGCCCAGTCTCAATCGCCATTTCATCGCACCTAGGGGGCAGGACCGGCACAGTATACAGGGATCGAAGCCCGGCCCCTGCATCTGCCTAAGCAGGCACTTTAATCTGCTGAGCTATCTGGCCACCCCATAAAGGGATATTACTTTTTTTTTTTGGCGGAACCGGGATTTGAACTCAGGCCCTTGCACTTGCCAGGAAAATGCTTATTCTACTGAGCCATCTCCCTGGCCCCAACGGATATTATTCTTAAATAGCAAATTGCTTGATAGATCCTAGAGTCCTCCACTATAAATTTCAATCTGATAACACTTGAATTGTATAAGAATTTGATGTCAATTTCTAATCACTAGGTCTAACTTCATAAATGTGCAAAGACCAAATCCCTCAGGGCTTGGAGGGAGGGAGCAAAAGGAAAGACCCACACCTGCAGGCTGGGGCACTGAAGCCCCACTTCTTCCCCTTGGGAGGGAACTGCTGGTAGGGCAGGCCAGGTGGCTTCATGGAGTGTGCCACATGCTGACCAGTCCCAGCCATGCCTCATGCCCACTTCCCACCAAGTCCTCCCCACTCTCCTGAGCAAGGAGCACAGGAGAGTATTCAAGTCCAGTATTCCCAGTGGAGCTTCCCTTTTTGAAAGGTGGATTCCTAACAAATGCCTCCACTGCCAGGTAGTTCCTGGTTAAGAAGCCTTACTTTCTACCTCCACCTTATCACAGGGTCTTGGGGTTCTCCTGTGAGCATGAGGCACTGAGGCCCAGGGTAGAGGGCCTGGGTGTCACAGGCCATCAGTCAGGAGAGGCCTCTGGCCACACTGCCTCCTGAATGAAGGCCTTGTGTGGCCTCGCTGTGCTCCTGTGTAGTGCTCCTGGACGGTCCTCCTCTGTTTTGCCCAGCTGTGGGGAGAAGAGGTTTAGGGCCCTGCCTGGACAGACACTGCCCAGAAACTGCCTAGGGTTTGGCACAACAGAAGAAATTACAAGTGAGGGAAGTAGGGGGAAGGAGGCTCTGAAAACATTGTAAAGCAAATTGCATGGGAACTGGTGAAAGGAACCATCAGAGCTGAGCAGGTGCTCCTCTCCTTGAATTGCTGCCCTTCTAACTTCCATGAGGAAACCAAACAGTTCATCTCATTTGGGTCCCCTCCAGCCACAGCTCTGGGTCCACAATGGGCACTGTTGGGACTAACTGCTCAGGGGCTCTGGGCATGGGCCACCACAGATAACACCTTTACATGCTGATCATCACTGTGTGAAACATTAAGGAAGATATCAACAAATGGAATGGAAGACTTCATATTGATTTTTTTTCATACTGTTAAGATAACCACAATGCCCAGAACAATCTACAAATTTCATGCAATCTCTATGAAAAAAATCCCAAGGGCTTTTTTTTTTTCAGAAATAGAAAATCCTAGGGTCAGATAGCTTAGTGGCATAAGTGCCAGCCTGGCAAGTGCAAGGTCCTGAGTTTGATCCCTGGCACCAAAAAAAAAAAAAAAAAAAAAAAAAAAAAAAAAAAAGAAAAAAAGAAAGAAGAAAGGAGGAGAAGGAGGAAGAAGAAGAAAGAAAAAGGAAGGAGAAGGAGGAGGGGAATGGGGAAGAACAGAAGAGAGGAGAGGAGGGGGAGGTAGGATGGGGAGGAGGAGGGGGAGGACAAGGAGAGTATCCTAAAAAATCCTATAGAGCCAGCCAGATAGCTCAGCAGACTAAAGCGCCTGCTTAGGCAGGCTCAGGGACCGGGGTTCGATCCCCAGTGTGCTGCACTGGTCCAGCCCCCAGGGTGCACTGAGACTGCAACTGAGACTGGGTGTGGAGGTGCGCACTTGTAATCCCAGCACTTGGAAGGCTGAAGACAGGAGGATCACTATGAGTCCAATCTGCATAGTGAGACCCTGTACTAAGTACATTAAAAAAAATAATCCTATGGAGCCATGCCCATAGGCTCTTGACTACAATCCCAGCATTTGGGAGGCTGAGGCAAGAGGATTTCAAGGCTAACTTGTGCTACACAGTGAGTTCAAAATCTGCCTTAACTACATAGCAAAATCATGTCTCAAAAAAAGAAAAATTCCTGTGGAATCTCAAGGGACCCTTGAGGGCCGGGGAGACAGCTCAGTAGAATAAGCATTTCCCTGTCAAGCGCAAAGGCCTGAGTTCAATCCCCGGTTCCACAAAAAAAAAAAAAAAAGGGACCCTTGAGCCAATTTTGAAAAAGAACAAAGTTGGAAGACTAAGTGAAATAAACACACAAGCTTAAATACCAGATGGTTTCTCTTATATAAAAGAAAAAGTATAAATAAATCAAAAGGAAAAATAAATATAGATAATAACAGGCAGAGAGGTAGAAAGAGAGAGAGAGATTTTGCAAATAAGAGGACCAGGAGACGATAAGAGGGAGGAAGGAGGAGAGGAAGACATAAAAAGAACTAAGATATGTTATGTACTTCTACCAACTCCCCACAATGAATGTAATTGTTATGTACTGCACATATGTGCTAATAAAAAGTTTTAAAATCTGGAAGTTTTTTTTTTTTTTAATTTAAAACTAAATACAGGGAGTAGTTAACACAGTATGGTACTATTATAAAGACACATATAGGGGCTGGTGAGATGGCTCAGTGGTCTAAAGCACCTACTTAGAACAAGCTTAGCAAAACACAGGGACCGCGGGTCAATCCCCCAGCACCACATGCCGGCCAGCCCCGTCCCCTGGTGGGCTGAGCTGGCCACACACAAAAATAAATAAATAAATAAATAAATTTTTAAAAAGACACATATAGGGCCAGGGAGATGGCTCAGTAGAATAAGCACTGCCCTGACAAGCACAAGGACCTGAGTTCAATCCCTGAAAAAAAGACGCATATACAAACCAAAGGAGTAGAATTGAGAGTCTAGAAATAAATCTTCAAGACTATGGTCAAATGATTTTTGACAAGGGTGCCAAGATACCCAGTGAAATAGAAATCTCTTTAATAAATGTTGTTAGGGCAACTGAATATTCACATGCAAAAGAATGACCAGCTTACATTATATACAATTTTTAAAAACAACAATAGAACCCCTTAAAGCAGGTCAAAAACCTGACAGAGCTAGAACTGCCAAGCATGGTGCCACATGCCTGTAATCCCAGCACTCGGGAGGCTAGGGAAGTAAAACTGCAAGTTCAAGGCCAGCCTGGGCTACATAGAAAGACCATTAAAAACAAACAACAACAACAATGAAAAACAGTAAAGCTTGAAAGAAAATATAAAAAGTCAGTGATTTGGGATTTGGCAAGACACAGGCATCAAAGAAAAATAGGTTGAGCTTCATTAAAATTAACAACTTCTATGCAACCAAGAACATGATTATCAAGAGAAGGAAAGGGTAATCCATACAATGGGGCAAAATGTTTGTAAATCAGATCTGATGAGTGTTTAATATCCAGAATATATAAAGTACTCATACAACTTAACAAAAAAGAAAAACAGTTCAATTTAAAAATGGGATATGGGGCTTATTTATCATGGTGAGACCCGGGTTCAATTCCAAGCTCCACAAAAACCAAAACAAAAACTCATGCCAAAGACATAGCTTCACACTCATTCATCCAAATGCCCTCCCCACCCCCCTGTTCAGTACGAGGCCTTCACACTATACTATAACCCCGGCCCTCCTCCCCCCTTTTGAGACTGTCTCACTGTGCGTTCAAGGCTGCCCTCAAACTTGCAGCCATCCTCCTGCCTCAGTCTCCCAAGTGCTGGGATCATAGGCATGTACTACCATGCCAGTTTAAAATTGCTTTTTCTGCCCCCAAAGGAAAATAACAAGTGCTGGTAAGTATGTGGAGACATTGGAGCCCTTGTGCACTGCTGGTGAGAATGAGCTCCTCAGAAAAATCACACAAAGATTTACCTCCTGACACAGCAATTCCACATCCAGGTGCACACCCAGGAAAGCGGAAAGCAGGGACTCAGACCCACACGTGTTCATTCATGCTCCCAAAACATTATTCACAGTGGCCTGAAGGTGAGCAATGCCACTGCTGTTACACGTCCTGTGACATGGCTGAACCTCAAGGTATTACACAAGTGAAATCAGACTCAAAAGGACAAATACTGTTAGATTTCATGTTTGTGGAATGCCTCCAAAAGGCAAATCTATAGAGACAGAAATTAAAGGTTAACAGAGGCTGAACGGGGGAGGGTGAGTAATCATTGCTTAATGGGTACAGAGTTTCTGTTTAGGATGAAGAAAAAGTTTTGTAAATTGTGGTA